ACACGAGATGAGCAGAAATTATAATATTTATTTCTAATTTTCAAGAAGACTTGATTTCAATGTCTGCCAAAATCCTTAATCAAAAAGATTACTTGGTCATAAATAAATGGCTATTAGGATGGGACAGGATTAATGAAAGAGACAGGATCAATAAAAGAGAATCAAATCAAATAGAATTTGAGAGCCCCGAGCTCATGAATACCTTTCTGTCTATACCAGTGAAGATGAGAGAGAGAGAGACAGAGAGAGAGAGAGAGAGAGAGAGAGAGAGAGAGAGAGAGGGAGAGAGAGAGATTTTGAGGAACTGGCTCATATGAATGTAAGACTAGAAACTTAGGCAGAATTTCTATATTACAACTGTTGAGGCAGGATTCCGTCTCCAAGAAACCTCAGGTTTTTGCTCATCAACTGATTGGACAAGGCCCACCCACATTCCTGAGGGTAATCAATAAGGCAAATCCTATTGTATTCCAAATAACTGGGTGAAGCTGTGGAAGTCCTGTGAAGACGCATCACAGGGCCAGAACATTACCTAGTTAAATTTCAGGGCAGAAGTTTGGCAAAGCCCTTCTTAAGGAGGCAGAAAAGTAAAGGCAACTCCAAGCTTAGGGGAGTTTCTTTCATGTGAATGAGCTGAATTGAACAATAAAGGGTTCCTAATGATGCTGTCCACTTCCAACTCCTATCTAAGATGCATTTTTGTTTGGGATGATACTCAGAGTATTTCTCAATCAATACAACACCAGCCAATCAAATTGAACAAGTCCCGGTTGGGCAGGTGTTAAACTTCCAGAAGGTCCTGGCGGGGCCCACAAGCCATGAAGCACAGGAAAAGCCCAATGCCTAGGGCCCACATTACTTTCGGAGTCTGACAATACTAGTAATGTTTTAATTTCTTTTAGAATTTTTAAAAATAAATATAGCAACAATGTAACTATACTTATACCACTAAATTGTACACTGAAAAAGGGTTAAAATAGTACATTTTATATTATGTGTATTTTACCACACTGAAAAAGTGCAGAAAAGTGCTTTTGAAAAGCTAACTATATTAAATGTTGGAAACTCCTAGCTAACCAGGAAATGATGGTGATAATATCCAAAAAACATCTCGAGGCAGAAACCTTTGGTACCTAATATGCAGAAAATTTTGCTTAAAATAGAGTATAGAGGACAAAAAGTACTTCCCAAGAAAAAAATGAGTATAATATGCTTTAGTTTTGTGTAATAACACTTATTCATTTATTGGCAATAATTTCAAGAATATTAACAACAGGGTTGGCTAACTTCTAAATATGGGTGCTGGAAATCAAACTACCAGACAGCAGGAAGGAAGGGTGGGGCCAAAGACTTGTCCCCTGTCCTAAAGGCTCACATAACCTACAACACAGCCAGCCATGGACCAGTCCTCCAGCCTACCTTCTCTGAATCTTTTCCTCTCTTGGTTCTTTGGGAAAAGGAAGGGGAAGATTTTAAAAGACAATATCTTTCACTGAAATTGGGTGAGACATAAAAAGTACCCAGTGCAAGAAGAAGAGTTCTGAAGATGTAGCTTGCAATTCTCATTCATTTCTCTCCTTGGAAATAATTCCTTAACTTTCACATATTCTGTATATCCTTACTTATGTCTAGAGTTCTGTATGATAAGTTGCATTTTCTTTAAGTTTCCCACAATGCTGTCCCACTTTATGCAAATATACGTTTAAGCAAATGTAAGAGCCCATCATATAAAAACTGATAAAAGTTTCAATTCATGCACAAAATTTGAAGTAGTATGAATCCGGATATTTTAAGATCCTATAATTGCAAAAGTGGTAGCCTGAGTGAATGGTGAACTATTTATGCTAAGGTCATATTGTAAAATACCTAGCGTGAAAAAAAAATATTAGTATTTTATGAAGTATACTAGAGGTCCAGTGCACGGATTCATGCACTGGTGGGGTCCCTCAGCTTGGCCTGTGCCCTCTCACAGTCCGGGACTCCTCAGAGGATGTTGGAGAGGCCAGGTCGAGGGATCCCACTGGTGCATGAATCCATGCACCAGGCCTCTAGTATGCATATAAGGTCTTTGCTTAATCTCTTCCCACCCTCCCCCTCCCCTCTTCCCTCTGAGATTCATCAGTCTGTACCATGTTTCCATGCCTGTGGTTTCCGCTCCTGTGTTAAGCATCTGACTCCTGGTGGTCAGTGCGTGTCATACCTACCGGCCGGTCGGTAGGCCAGTCACTTGGGCTTTTATATATATAGATACTTGTTTATATGCAAGATAACCTCAGTTACTATTCTGCTGTTATTTAGCCATCTACTTATAATTTAAAATATTTTTATATTCTATAAGAATGTAATGCAACCATTCATTAAATAGGGGTGCTAAAAAGCAGTGCTAAAAACATGTCTCAAAATCAATTACTTTGGCTTGGAAGTGAATGAACAAAACTCTAACTAAAGCCAAACAACTGCCATGGCATGTTGTGCTATTAATGTGGAAATAAGCAATGGAGAAATATTAGAAATAATGTTGAAAAAATTAAAACCATAAGTATGTAACACAATGGCTAAGGACTTATGCACTCAGAGAATACACCCTTAAATTTCTGCCTATGGAAAATTCGTCCTTCAGGCTTTGTGAGTTTGTAATTATGTCTTCAACTTCATTTTATTTAGAGATGGAACCAAATTCCATGTATATAAGGAAACAGGCCTGAATTGCATTTTTAAGTAACATATTTGTTTCCTTGTGTGTTTTCTGATTATAAAAATCAGGATAAAAAGTGTAGAGATGAAGAAAATGACCAACTTTAGTAGCATTTTGACAGTTTTTTCATTTTTTTCTTCTATGTTTTACATAGTTTAGATAAAATATATGTTCAATTTTGCATACTAATGTTTTTCTTAACCTTAAATCAGCGGTTCTCAACCTGTGGGTCGCGACCCCTTTGGGGATCGAACGACCCTTGCACAGGGGTCGCCTAAGACCATCAGAAAACACATATATAATTACATATTGTTTTTGTGATTAATCACTATGCTTTAATTATGTTTAATTTGTAACAAGGAAAATATATCCTGCATATCAAATATTTACATTACGATTCATTAACAGTAGCAACATTACAGTTATGAAATAGCAACAAAAATAATTTTATGGTTGGGGGTCACCACAACATGAGGAACTGTATTAAAGGGTCGCGGCATTAGGAAGGTTGAGAACCACTGCCTTAAATGAAGATTTATCAAGACACTAAGAGCTATCTTTCACGTTATAAAGGATACAATAACCTCATCATATAATTATAGCATATTCAATTAGTACTATTTCTAATACTAAAACATTAAGCATTTTCCACGTTTAGCCATTGTAAATAATCCAGTGACTAGTATCTCTGCATTTTAAATTATTTTCCTTTGGGGAAATTTCTTAGAAGGGAAATTATTAGATCAAATAGTATCTTGATACATACTGCCAAATTCCTTTCCCGAAAGATTAAAATAATTTACAATTTGCCTGGCAACAGATAAAATAACCCATCTTGTCCTGGCAGGGTGGCTCAGTTGGTCAGAGCATCATTCCACATACCAAAAAAGTAGTGGGTTCGATTCCCAGTCAGGGCACATATCTAGGTTGCGAGTCTGATCCCTGGTTGGGGGAGTTGATCAGTTCCTCCTCCTCCCTCTCTCTCTAAAATACATTAAAATATATATCCTCAGGTGAGGATTTAAAAAAAAAAATCTCACCCCATCTTCACTCCACTGCGTATTAAATGTATAAATTTAATTTTTAATTAATTTAGTTTTCCAGTCCTCTAAAATGGTAGTTATTCCCTTTTATTTGAGAGTTCTGTTTACCTCTGATTGAATATTTTTAAAAATTAATGGCTGGAATCTTTCATGGGTTGCAGTCGGATGGCAGCTGGAGTGGGAGTCCAGGCTCAGGTCGGCTGAATGTCGGAGATGGCTTCTTCATTCCTAAGCCAAGCTCAGTAGTGTTTCTCCTCATGGCCTCGCCCTCTAGCCCAGGAGCCTGGATTTCTCATGAGGTAGCTCAGGGCTCCAAGAGACTTGGAAGCAGTCTTTTTATAAGCTAGGCCTACATCTGGCACAGGGTCACTTTTGCCATGTTCTATTGATCAAATCAAAAGCCCGATAGTCCAGATTCAAAAGGCAAAGAGACATTCACATCTTGCTGGGAAAGTGGCCAGCTCCAACAGAAGGCCAGCCATCTTAGAGACAATCTACCACATCCTTATTGATCTTTACTAATCTAAGCTTTTCCTGATGAAAGTATTTTAAATTTGTGTTGCTATAGTAATTTGTATGCTTTTTCTTTTATAGTTTACTAACCAGTTAGTGCTGATGTGAAGGAAAGATACTGTTTTTCATATGCTAATTTGTATTTACTCACTTACTAAATGGTCTTATTTAATTCTCAGTTTAATATCTTGGTTTTCCTAAGAAGGTAATCATACTATCTTAAAATAAAGATAAAAATTTTCTTCTCTTTTTCAATAATCAAATACCTTATCTATTACACTGGTTAATAGACAAGCCTAATAAGATGCAGCCTTGTTCTGTTTCTGTTGTATAATTTTTTAAGTACAAATATATTAAAGTAATAAACTGGACATATATTATCAACATACACATTTCCCAGAGCTAAATTAAGCCACTTACTTTTATGTGTCAATGCAATACAAATGAATAGAAAGGCAGGTTCTTATTCCAGATAAATTAAATTCAGGGACAGAGATAATAAAACAAGATGAAGAAGAAAGCAACTAATATGTTTTGGACACTACACTATTTTCTCCCTGAAATCTATAAACATCTAAAAATAAATCATAACAATAAAACATTCTATTGACTCCCTCAAATAGAAAATATCTCTAAATAAATATAAAACATCATAAATCTCAGCAATTGTCCTCTCTTCCCAAGCTTGACTATTTACACTAGATGTGCAGAACCATTTTATGTACATAAACAAGTATTAGAATGTGGCTTCACAGCCCTCTTATACTCACAAGTAGCTGATAATTATATGGTGGAGTGTAGTTTTCAGCATATGTCGTCAATGCACACCTAAGAGGGAAAGTCAGTATCTGAGAAAAGAATGACTTAAAAAACAAACATATTTAAATGTTTTAGTGGTGTATACTTTACATGAAATAAAACCATTTCAAGAAGGATTGGCTCCCATAAAAATTTTAAAACCCACAACTGTCTCAGCCTTGTTTTCAGTGTTACCTATCACCAGCAGGAGGCCCTTCCTCCATTGCTTCCAACTCAGCACCACCCACTACTCTCCTGTGCTAATGATATGCTACCAGTCCCAAGGATTTTAAATTATTACCTGAGCTTGGGTGCATTCTGGACTTTTGGGACTCACTTTACCACCCATTTTCTGCCCCTCAACTCTTTTTGATCCTATGCCCTATGTTCTCGGCTGGATGACAACTGAAAAGATAATAGCAGACAACCACGAGGACTGAGATAACATAGCTTCTCCAACCTCCCCCATTAAACACACAGAAATGCAGATGAAATACACCCTCCCTCCCCAAAGTGTAGAAGCACAGCCAGGCTCAAAAGGGAAAACTTGAAATGTTGGAAATGAAGAACATACTCATTAGAATAGGAAGCCATAAGCTGATGTCCCAAGGACAGGACTGCAGTTTGAACTGCATGTCAAAGAGCAGAAGACGTGGTCTTGGGGATTTCACAGAAGGCAAATTTCTAAACTCTTACAGCCAGGAATCTCCATATAATAGAGACCAAAAAACTACAGTAACCAGTCCAGGGAAACTTGCCAGAAAGCTTCTCTCTGTTTGAAACTGAGGGTGGGGTTTGGGAGGAAATTATTTTCCAATGAGAAATTAAAGTCCTAATTCTCTGTTCTGATAATATTATGAAATGAGATGGTCAAAGAAACTCCACTGGTAATTGCACATCTAAAAATATTGGGTACAGGGAAACTGAAACATTTCAATGCATGGCCAAGCTGGTGGGAAAGTAATATAATCCAACAAATAAAGAATTCCAGCCCTAGCCAGGTTGGCTCAGTGGATAGAGCATCAGTCCACAAACTGAAGTGTCCCAGGTTCTACCTGGTGATAATCACCAATTCCTGACAAGAAGTGGTTTCCAGAGTAGTAGCTTGTTAAAGAAATGCAAATACTGTCATGTGCCGCATAATGGTGTTTCAGTCAATGATGGACCAAATATACGACAGGGGTTCCATAAGATTAAAATGGAATTAAAAAACTCCTATTGCCTTGTGGTGTTGTAGTCATCATAACATTGTAGTGCAACACCTTACTCACGTGCGTGTGGTGATGCTGGTGTGAACAAACCCATTGAACTGCTGGTGTATAGGAATATAGCACATAATATTTGAGAATGATAATAAATAACCACGTTACTGGTTTGTGTATTTATATGCTATACTTTTTATTGCTAGTTTAAAGTATATTCTTTCTGCTAGAATAAAAAGTTTTCTGTAAAGCAATATGCTGTGTTAACTCGGTCAGCAGACTCATACACCTCATGACTGCATCATTTTCTTTTGTGCTTGATTTAACCTCATGTTATTTTGTACAGGAACAGGCCTGCATTCTATATTTGTAGCTTAGGAGCAATAGGCTATATCGTACAGCAGTGGGCTACACCATCCAGATTTAAGTAAATACACTCCACCATCTTTGCACAACAATGAAATCGCCTAATGATGCATTTTTTAGAGTGTGTCTTTGTTGTTAAGCAGTGTGGACTGTACTTCAGTCCCACTCGAGATCTACGGAATTAGAAATTCTGAGGGTGGGCCCAGCAATCTGTGTTTTCACAGGCCCTCTAGGTGATTTTGATGCACACTAAAGTTTGAGTACTGGAAACTAAAAGAACAAAAATTAGAAGTGTAACTTTCAAACCAGCAAATAGGACTTTTTTTTCCCCCCAAAAGAGGCCAATCTAATACAAAGCAGGAACTGTGAATACCAGAAAGGAAAAATCAATTTCTGCTTGCCAGACAAATTAAAATCATAAAATTAAATATCTTTGCAATCACAATTAAAGTAAATGGGTAAAGCCCATCAAGGGAAGTATTTTCTCAGACTTAAATTGAACTACAAATTGTGTTATGCAGTCTGATTCTATGCTTTCATACCCAGAATTATTTTCAAATAAAGTCTGAAAGCAAAAGAATATAAAAGATATATCATACAAATATTAACCAAAAACTATTAATTATAAAGATTTGCTAATCATTACCTACTGATTAAAGGAGTAAGTCACCAAGAATATATGACAGACTCAACAACACATAAAATATGTAAAGCAAAAAATGACAGAATCACAAAGATAAAATGATAATTCCACAGGCATAGAGGAGGACTGTAAAACATTCCTAGATCCTTCAGTTCTTTAAATCCAAATTTCTACATACATCCTCCAAAACTATACATATCAACAGCAATGCAAATAAAATCACACAATTTTCCATGCATGCAGCATAACAGAGGCCAGAAAAGTCTACAAACTTCAGTTTAATGTAGTGAGGAGAACAATCCAGAATTGGTAGAGTTAGATCTGAGCCCAATCTGGAGCGAAATCAGGCAGGGATTACATGGAAGAGAGGAGAGAGTGGCAACTCCCCAGTCGGGATGGAACACAGAGAACATGGATCCAGAAACACAGCATCCTTCTCTGACGGTAAAAAACTGAGACCAAGTCTGAGACTAGAGGATTTGAACATTGGCTTTTAAGAAAGAGGCTTGGAAAGTATGCAAGCCCACAATGGCAGCCTTGGTGTGCAATGATTCCAAGGAAGCGGGGTGGGGACAACTGGCAAAATAAGAAAAATAAGAAATCAAGCCCAGAAATTAAGGGTCCTAAAATCACCGCTCCTCCAAAAAAAAGAATAATAATAATAAAAAAAAGTCATTAATGAAATAAAGTTCACTTCACTGTTCTAACAGAAGAGGGCACTCTTGAACTAAAATATTGAGGAAATGGTCCAAACTTCTTATTCCCCACCCTCCACAAAATTTACCTGATTGCTGCTAGGCCAAAAAAATTAAAAATACTTAAAATGTAAAAAAATAAAATAAAATAAAAAGGCAACATTACTATGAGAAGAAAACAGTAAATAAGAATAAAAACTAAGCTGATGAAACTCCTCCCCAGAAACAATCCTGGTCAGAGAAATCCTCTATCAGCTTTTCTATTCAGCAATGCACTACCAGCCATGGGCAAACTACGGCCCGCGGGCCGGATCCGGCCTGTTTGAAATGAATAAAACGATTGGAAAAAAAAGACCGTACCCTTTTATGTAATGATGTTTACTTTGAATTTATATTAGTTCACACAAACACTCCATCCATGCTTTTGTTCCGGCCCTCCGGTCCAGTTTAAGAACCCATTGTGGCCCTCGAGTCAAAAAGTTTGCCCACCTCTGCTAGACATTCTAGCAAAGGCAGTAAAACAAGAAAAAGAATCATTAGTATAACAATTGGAATGGAAGAAACAAAATTTTCATTGTCCACAGATAATAAAACTGTCTACATCTAAAAATCTAAGAGAATCTTTGAATCATAACATCAGGCAAGTTTCAGGACGGTTGTTGGATATAAGATCAATACACAAAAATAGTATACTCATATTTATAATTGCAATAAAATTTCTAAAATTCCTATAGCAATATATGTAACAAGATTTATAAGATATTTATGAAAAAATACAAAATTTATTGAAGGACATAAAATAACTCCCTTGTTTATGACTCAATATCTATACTAATAAAAGGGTAATATGCTAATTAGTCCAGACATCCTTCCAGACAAAGCCACGGTGGTGAGGGCCAAGGCAGAGGCGGTTAGGGGCAACCAGGCCAGCAGGGAAGCAGTTAGGGGGTGATCAGGCCGGCAGGCAGAGGTGGTTAGGGGCAATCAGGCAGGCAGGCAGGCGAGTGGTTAAGAGTCAGCCATCCCGGATTGCAGTCGGACATCCCCTGAGGGATGTCCCAGATTAGAGAGGGTGCAGGCCGGGCTGAGGGGCTCCCCCACCCCCATGCACGAATTTCATGCACTGGGCCTCTAGTATGTTACATATGTGTTTATATATGTATATATACACATATATGTAATTTCTAAAATGTTTACAGTCTGACATTATATATGTTTTGATTAAATTATAATTTAAAACTTCTATTGATCAAAAGACAACTTGAATAGTTAGAAGAGAAGCCATAGTGTAAAAAAATCATAAAATTAATCAAAACAAGATTAATACCCAGAATAACCATTATTAATGAAATCATGAAAGACAAAATCCCATAGAAAAATGGACAAAGCCTATAAACAGTCAATTCACAGTAAAAGAAACCAGAAGGCTAGTAAATATTTTAAGATAAATTCAGTGATTAGTGAAATGCAAAGTAAAACAACAATGAGGTACCATTTCATACCCATAAGATTGGTAAAAATTAAGAATATTTTTAAGGATATGAAATAATGTGTATATTTATAGACTACTGGTGGCAGTGCCTTGTTAAATTAAAGGTGCATATATTTTAATACCCAGAAATTCTATTTCTGAGTATAGAGAAATCCTTGCATATATACTCAAGGAGACATGTATAAGGAGAGTCAATGCAACCTCATGTGTAATGGTGAAAATCTGGAGTTAATGTCCAACAATAGAATGAATATATTGATGGCTATGTAAGTCATTATAAATTATTTCTCTAAAAGATATAAAGTAAATTTTGTAAAGATGTTAACTTATATTTATAATCAGGTAATGAGTAGATAAATGGGAGTTTGAATAGTATTTATATATAAATATTTAATAATCTTAACATGGAAATATAAAGAAAATATTCCATAATCTTAAGATGTTTAAGTATTAATAGATGACAATGAACTTATTTGCCTATCTTTTCTTTTCCAAAGTTATGACTCCAATGATATGATTATCAGTCAAATATCACAGTTTGCTTTGGGCAGGCCAACTTGCAAGGCAGCATGGGCAGCTCTCTACTCACTTAAAGTAGGCAGAAACCCATTCCATCCATGCTCAGGCCCTTC